ACGCGTCGTGTGATGCTTTGAATTTCAAGTCTTTGAGTTCTAATTTAGGGTCAAAATAGATCCGCTTAAACTTATTTTAGCTTGTATTTTTCAGAGATAAAATCAAATGATGTAATTTTTGTGAATTTGATGATGGCGTGACTAGACCATTCATTTTAGATAATCTAATCTAGAAAAAACGCTTTTTTTCTTCGGCGACTTGTATGGAGAGTAAAATGGTTTTCCCGTGAATCCTCTCTTGATTACAAACTCATTGAAATTTCTTATTTTAATACGCACAAATATATTGCATTACTCTACTACTTAGCTGTTGAACATGTGTGACTCAAGTCAATACTCAATAAACTATAAAACATGTCATTTCTTTTTATTGATTAATATATGATGGAACATGCTTTCTTTATACTGGCGTTAATATTCAGTGAAGGGCTCATCTACGCATTAATCAGGGCTGTTTTTTCTTTCAGTTTTACTAGATGATTTCGATCAACTTTCAAGCATGACTTTTGTTTTACACTTATTATCAAACAACTCACAATTGCGTAGAAAATGTTGGTTATTATTGACTGATGCAAAATCATAGATGGTAAATACACTTTCATTATTATTTTCTTTTATTAATTTTACGTCATATTCTATATTATGGATCGCTTCTCAGCATTGGCAAACATTCTATAGCATTGGTATTCATTGACATGCATATAGGGATGTGCAGTTTCGGTGAAAACATTGAATTCCTGACAGTGAGACACCGACACTGAGCGTCACTGTCTGCACTGACGCACTGACAGTGAGCGAACTGTCTGCAGTGACGCACTGATGGTGAGCGAACTGTCTGCAGTGAGGCACTGATGGTGAGCGAACTGTCTGCAGTGATACACTGACACTGATTTGCACTGTCTGCAGGGAGACACTATCAGGTTAAAAGCGGAGCTTCACCTGGGCGGTGTTCCCTCGTCAGTGTCAGTGTGCCACTGCAGACAGTGCGGTCACTGTCAGTGCGTCACTGCAGACAGTTCGCTCATTGTCGGTGTGTCACTGCAGACAGTGCGCTCAACGTCAGTATCATCAGCGTACCAGTGAACGCCAGTGCGGTTTTATCGGTGGTCAGTATACTGAAACTGCACATCCCTACATTCATATATTTGATGACTTTGGTAGTTGATTCAAAGTCATGCAAGTTTGTTATATAGAATATATAAAGATATTTTTCCAGGTATTATAATACAATGATTTCTTATAGTATTCACAATACGTTTTATATTAAATTACAGCGCATCTAAGATAGGATTTATCGATTCTAAATTTTAATCGGTATGACAACTTGACAGTGTCGAATCGTAGAAATTTCTAAACCTTGACGTCATGTTGAAATAACTAAACTATTTTCATAAGGCATTTTCAGCTACTAGGTCTGATTTAAAATGATTAATATAAAAAAGTACTGTTTATTTCTTAAGAGTTGATGAATATCATCAATGCTCACAATGATAATCATTAGACATAGCATATATTAAGTCGAGATTTGAGTATCTCGTAAATGGAAGTATGAGTATAGAAAACATTCTTTAAGAAATTATGCAATAGTCCTGCTCGTGAAAGATGTCATATTCGAATTATAACACATTGACAACAAGAATTGTTTAGAATTTGTACTAACCTAATGATCATTTATTTCTCGAGAAGAATCTAAGCTGTATTCATCCTCATTGTTTGGGTAATTCATATGCTTGCTCGATGTTTCTAGAAAACAATCTGAGTCTTTTGTATTTCAGATAGAAGCCACAAGATTTTTCGAACCGAAGCCATTCTTCATCTACATCCTGTCTAATCAACGAAAAAAAATTATCTAAAGCCAGGTAATCCATTGACAAATTATTATAATCAAAATAAATAGATTCTTTTTACTGAGTTGAAATCTTTATAGTTGTAGAACTATCGAATCACTGACATAATGTAAGATCCGTGTAGATATAAACAATTTGATAAATTTCATTGACAAGATGTGGAAATTGCACGTTATCAGATTTCTACGTTGTTTCTTGTGTTACATTGAAGAAAATTTGAGCTGATGTGTTGAAAGTTATTCAAAGCAAATGTGCGCGACCATCTTTGCATGGAACTAGTAGACTAATCCAAAAAGTATTTAACAAGACAAATAACTATGCATCTGCGTGAATCATGAAATCATACTATTTCTTATTTTTCTTTCACATAAAAATATCATGATTTGAAAGGTCATCTTTCTAGAAAAGAGGTGAT